TTCCGTGGCAGCTTTCGATGCATCGTTGCAAAGTGTGCTAGTAGGGGACCTACTATGAATTATTTCTAATGCGTTGTAAGTCCCGTATTCGCGCACCAGCTTTTTTGTGCTCTTGTAGGATGTAGGAGTAGGTTGAATGTAGTCCACTCCTTGGCCGCTTTTTGATACTCCTCCCTCATGCATACGCCATATCTACTTCGATACACGATGTCAACTAGCCAAGCCCGACTATATCGCGCAACTATGTGACGCATGATTTGGCCGAGACCTTAGTTATGGTGTCAGTCTGCATACGCAGTGCGGGCACATACGATGGTGCAAGAAGGTTTTGTGCCTGGCAACCCACGAACGAACTTCATATTGACGTCGACACGTCAAGCTTGACGGCTACAGCTTTCTCTGGATACTTGTTTGATGGCCGTATGGGCATCCCGGCTCATTGTCATGGGTGGGGTGACTATATATCCAACTTAGGCGCTGAGATGCCTACGTTCCATGGTCTCCTTGGCGCCAGTCGCCGCTGCCATAAACCCGGCTTCAGCCGTCGACAAAGCGCTCGCGCCATGATATTTGATCTGCCAAGCATATAGCATACCATTTACTTACACCATGATCCCGCTGACCTATATATGGTCGACTCTGTCACCGCCATGTCGGCGTAGGAGATGCTTTGAAATCCACGCCGCGTTGTCGTACTAAGATACGATATATGCGCAGCTTCAAATTCGACAGTACGGAAAATATGTGTTCCCGTGCAAATTGACGAGCCGGCTATTGACCAGCTAAGATCTGCAATATTTGAAGCACGCTTTTTTATACAAGATACTTCGGTCAAGGCTTCGACTTGGTGTGGTAATGTCGTGCCTGTCGTATTTGCAGATAGGAAAACTTTGTACGAGTAGATCATGGCACGCACAGAACACCTCCTGCTCGCCGATAACGACGTGGGGCTTTATCAATATGGTGGACCTATTGTGTGTATCGACATAACTGAAAACACTAGCAGCAAATGATCCACTAGCAGCAAAGTACACTACATCGTCGGGCTATGAGTAACACTCGCAAAATACTGTCTATCGGTGCGACACCGGTGCTGCAGAATTCGTGAAGAGCGTACGAAAACTGGGAGAGTCCATCTTACGTCCACTTGATCGATGAAACAGCTGTCATTGGACCAAAAGTCCATTCAGGCGGGCATGACATGTCGAAAATGAAAGCCAAATGGACAGTGACATTCTTTCGCGGTCAAACATACGACGATAATGAAGCAGCATTTGTGCTCCGGCGACACACGATGAATGATCAGCCTTACACAAGTAGAAGTAGTTGACACGTATATTACCAAAAAATATAAACTCGTTGTTTCTATCGTTGTCATTGTTACGTCTGCTTCAGGATCAGCATCGTATATGCTGAAATTGCACGTACTCCGTTAGTTTGCAAAGCATCCATGTATGTCCCACAAAAAGCCTATCATATTGAGTATTGCTGGTTGACGAGATCACTGTGATCGGTCAATAGCCGCTAGTACATGTCTATGAGCCGATTTTTACACGCTCTTGATCGGGCTAAAAACGTTTGCGCGAGACCGAAGCTTTTTGAGACGTACATTTATTCAGTGAGAAGTTTTGCAAGTTTAGTACACGCATAACCGTCTGGCCATTGTTTAATCAGAACAAGCTAGGTTGCAGCCGAGTGCACACAGAGTGGTAATATATACGAAACAATACAGTTTCATACCTCGGTGACCTTTCGATCATTGTATCGATTTTTTGGAGACAGTAATCGTTGTGGAAAATCTTCATTTGGCAGTTGTTGATGTAACACAAAGACTCACTTTAGTACAAGAGATCTTCGTTCGGCAACGTCGATTCCACGATAAACAATAGTTCGTATCTCGATTACTGTCTCCAGTAGCGCTTTGATGGCCCCGAATGCTACTATGATGGCGCACGCGTCCGATCGTGCATTTTGTGTGAGAAACATCATGTAAGAATGGACGAAGCATAGTGTCAGGTAATCGCGGCCAAGAGTGTGCGCGTTTTTTTTCGAAGTGATTTGTCTCGAGGCGTACTCATTCTTACTGTGATAATTTCTACTATGACTTTGCGCACCACCTCAACGCCATGTCTTGAATCATCCATCTTTGTTGATGATAATAGTGAGCGACAAGAACACTTGCACCCACTGCGTCGAGAAAAGCATATGCCGTTTATTTCGAAATTCTTGCCCAAGACAACCGAGACCTCATGTATCGCATTCCGAAACGTCTCGGTTTTTTCAAGCTCTAACACACGCGTGCCGACGGTTGCTTGGCATTCGTATCAGTGAGATCCGAAGAAAACACAATGTCATCAATTTAGATTTTGTACAAGCATCGTTGATGGCAACAAGATAGCTTGTATCTGTACTATTGCGGCTTTCCCGATGCTTCGTTGTCCATAATGTTCGTATCGTGCCAACAACGTCATTTTTCCGGATTTATTGTGCAGACAGCCGGGCCACTTTCAGTCGTATAATCAAATGGAGGAGCACGCTCAAGCTCCTACTCAAAAAGAGGATGTGGATCAAAGAGGATGATAAAGTAAGGCTCTGTCCTGCTACTCATCTCATTCTTCACTTTCCTTCGGCAACTTGTACCTCAACCATCAAAAGAATGCGGCGAATGCTCCGTCTTGACTCCTCGTCAGCTACGACTTCATTGTACAAGCTCTCTAGTGCTTCGGCAGAGTTTGGTTCTGTGTTCGCAAGAACGTTACAACATTCCGGATAGAAGCAAAAGTTGCGAAGCGAAAAGAGCGCAGTGCGACGCGACGCCATGCTGGTCTTGATCATGGCCATTCTGAACAGCTCCCACGGCACTTGGTGAATACAAAGCTCTTTACAGAGCTGACTCGAATTTCGAACAAAATTTCCGAGAGCCCCCGCCGCGTTCGATCGCGTTTTGTCTTCACCATCATGTAGATTTTGGACCAATGTGGGGAATGCAGGCCGAACAAAGTCAGAGATATCATCACTATGGTATGCTGCGTTGCCGATGGCAAAGCATGCAAAGCGCCGGACATGACTATGTGGATCAGAGAGCCTACTAATAATTGTGCTCAAAAGTGTTGTACTGGCCGATCCAGCGGAAGGTATGATGAAGTGCTGGCAAAAGGTTGTTGAGTAGCGACACAATCGACCGATACAATTAAGGCTTTTTTCCCTCACCAACGCTTCTGGGTGCTCAAGCAGGTCGCCAAGTTCCAGTAGTAGATCTTCCATCCCAATGTAGTCGTAGTTGGCGTCTAAGCTGCGGGCAAGTTGACTGACGATCGATAGTGTATCGATGATCAGTGGTAGCGGGCAGCTAGTCCGCAGCATACCACATTCTATGATGACACGCAAGCCATTAGCTTGCACAAATTGTGATCCAAATTGTTTGGAGCGTGTGACTAACTTGGATAGAAAGCTCATCGGCAGTTCAAGTGCAGACATCTCTAACTGCGAATGTTGAGTCGAAAAAGCAAATCGAAAGATATCGAGAAGTTTTGGTAAGCATCTTGCATTGTACAGAATGTCATGTGTGGTAAAAAGCAGCTCTTTCGACGCGCTGTGTGCGGACTGGACAACAAAAATCTTGATAGTAGCGCGCACAATCAATTTCACAGCACTTTTTCCTCCTCCAGTAGCGTCCGGCCAAGAGACAAGGTGCTTAATATGCGTGAGATCGAGCAAATGTACCAAATGTAGCAAAACGTGTTTGTTTACAGCGGCTACCACGTGAGCTACATTGCGTTGCAACTCCAACACAATTCGCAATAGTTTAAGAAAACAAATCAATCCCCGAGGCGACAATGAATTGTTGCCGCCATGCGCCATCATGATGCCAAAAGTTTCCCACACACGGCTATGCTCAAGCACAGCCAAGTACGTCTTAATTGCATGTGCCTGTGATAAAGCTTGGTGTGCGACTCGCAGAAGAAAAACAACACCAGAATCCATCATTCCTCGTATTCCGAAATGGTTCTTCGTAAGTGTATGAGTCTCGCTTGCTATTTTGACATCGTCCGCTTGATGTTTGGTAAACAAACAAAACACTGCGTCAGCACAGCGCTGCGTGATGGCTCCATGTACGACAAGATTCCACAACTCCTGTTCATGAGGTGTCAGTGTATTCACGTTATTAACAATGCCGAACAGTGACTTGCCAACATTGTACGTATCGATCATCTCGGCGAAAAATGCGCCCAGCGCACTTAGTAACACAGGGTCACTGGCGTCCAAAAATATTGGGAACAAAACTTGTGCACAACACCATATCTGTCGACCTGATACAAATTTATGTCGCATGATGACCATCAACAATTCCGTCGCTAAACGTTGCTCATCACGGCGCAGGCTTCCCGCGCTCATTCCCTTCAGTAGAAATGACAAGATGTCGCTGTCGCGGTGGTTTGGTATGTCCAGTTTTGTAGGTGTCAGCTTTTGGAATGCAGGTGAAGATGTTTCACATGCGTGCCTCAAGATCACCAGGATGCAAACGATATTAGACTGGGTAGCGCCTGCATCTTCAGTGCCATTCCTTTCGCCTGTATCGTCATTTTTGCCTTCCTTTGTCCGCGCACGAGCGTCAATTTCATCATCGAGTAATGTAAATAAATCGTGCACTCCACAACTATAAAGCTGAGAGCCAACTTCTGCGTGCACTTTGGTACGAAGCGGATGTGCATCGTCAAATTTTTGTTGGTCAATGATCTCCAGTGAGATACCACCATCATGGACCAGACTCATCATTGGGAAAGGCTGCAACGAGTCCCAGCACTTTGCATCGGGCTGAACAAAAGCTGTTATTGCACGGAGCACACTCGGAAGCAGTTTTCGGTCGTTTCTGGCGCGCTCACCATCAGGAGAACGAGTGACTGATGCATGCAAAATATTGCACAAGGTTTGGATCAACCTTGATAAGCAGACAACCTCAAGCACGGTCGTCAAGTTTCGAGACTGATGAATCATAGACCCTAGCCATTTGACAGCTTTCGCATGGAAATTGGCAACGACATCATCCTGCTTAGAAAGTACCAGCACAATGACATCAACATTGCCTTTGCATAACTCGTGGTAGTTCAGTTGCCCTGCAACTTCTTTGCCAGCATTGTTGATAATCGTGGTGCACAACATGCAGTATCGCATACATTCGCAAATCACGTATGTCACCTGCTCGTTGTCGGCAATCATCTCTTCGCTTTTGCTTACAAGGCCGGTCAGAAATCGGCGCAGGTTGTCATTCGATTCAAGTACATATCGTAAATCGGAATCGCCATAAAGCTTTTTTAGCATCAAAGAGCGGTACTGACAATGGATCATCGATCCAATTCGTGTCAGTACGTTACTTGAAAGTGCGCAAGCAGGGAACGAAAGTAGAAGACCGAGAGCGTTAGCAAACAAGAGGTCGACGGACTCCATGCGATTTAAGTCTACTTCTCTACTGATCAGGTCCCACATGCCCATGAAGTTTTCAAGAGCAACTGAGTACACTCCTTTGACACTATTACGATGCAGCGGGGGGTCATATTTGCTGATCTCATTGGCAACAGAGGTTTGGCCAAGCGTATTCTTGACTGGATGAGGTAGTCGCACGAACTGCTCTCGTGTATCTGAGTCACATGTCTTCCGTTCCCCACGTGAGTTTAGGCACTCTTTTCTCGGCTCGGACTTTGCCTCAGATTCTTCCATAAACGCGTCATGCAGCTCGTTTTCTGCTGAGAAGCGAGGCAGCGAATGTGCTTGTCGCTCAAGCTGAAGCCGTGTCTCAAGTTGCTTTGGCGTTTCCTGCACAAACGGATGCTCTAGGATCTCTGGCCACTTGAGTCTCTTAGCAGGGTCTTTATTCAGTAGTCCCTTTAAAAAGCTTTGGAGCTCCACCGACATCGTTGACGGGTAGTCCACTTCATCGCGCACGATCATCTGGATGAGCAAAACAATCCTCTCCGTATAGAATGGAGGTTTTCCCACTGCAAGTTCGTACAAAATCACACCCAGTGACCACAAGTCCACTGTATGATTATACGGCTTCTCCTGCAACAGTTCTGGAGCCATGTACAGTGGTGTGCCTTTGATCGATTTCACCAAACTCGCATCGTTTGTTATAGCACGAGCAAAGCCGAAATCACACAATTTGATCTGCTGCTTGGACCCAATGAGAATGTTTTGCGGCTTTATATCTCGATGAATGATATTATTCGAGTGAAGCGCGTGCAGGGCTTGCACAAGCTGGATCGCGATCCTGCGAATCTCGCATTCGGACAGACTACGCTCGTCTTTTATCACCTGAAACAGCTCACCTTGGGCATATTCCGTCACCATACAGAACTCTTTATCTGTTTCGAATGAGTCCATCATTGCGATAATGTTGCAATGGTCCGACTGGTGAAGGATGCGAATCTGCATCGTAGCAAAGTTAGCGACTTGTGTTACAGTGAATATCAATAGTCACATTGTTTTTGTAAGCCCTACTTCTTGTCGTAAATTTTCAAGATCTCGCACGGATTTGCCCTGTTTTGACACGAATTTGAGTGCGACAACGTGCCCCGAGTATTTGCGACGCCCGCGGTAGACCTTGCCGAAGGAACCTTCTCCGATACGCTCCAAGATGTGGTACTTTTCCATGACAGAAGCCAGGAGACTTGATTTTGTCCGCTGTGTTTGGTAAGCAAGTCACGTTATGATCGGATGTAATGAAATCTTGTGCGAAGACATTTCAGATATTTAGTCAAGTGCCAGTAGACGATATTCCCAAAACCTAATGTCATTGAAAGATGGCGTTTGTCTGATGTTAGGCAGGACCAGAATAAGCTGGCACGACTGCTGCGAATGAAATGAGTGCTGGGAAGAGAGCAATCAGGACGACGCACGGGGATGAAAGTCTGGGCATACGGTCGAACCGCTGCAAAAAATAGCTATTTGATGCCAAATTTTGTCTCGAAAGGACAAATTTATAAAAAAATGAAAATGCGCCACAATAGTGCGATATCCAATTCAGTCAAAGGCCTCGCTGCGCTCAATCGAGCGGATACATTCCGCATGACCTTGGCAAATCTGTATTGATGGACGTGTATTCCGTGCCGCTCGCTGCCTCGACACCACACGTCGTCGGGCATTTTTGTTTCGCAAGCACGTACACTGATGAGAAAATTGACAAAAATCCCTCAATGCGACAAGCTCTAACAACAAGTAACGCAATACACGGACTTTTCTCCATATTATTCGTCGATCAAAAAAATCGTTGACTAGAACTGTGTACCTGCAAAGCAAAAGAAAGACCATTGTTCAGCGCAGTAGGTATACCGACACACTACCAACCCACGATACAAGTAACAAAATTGTTTGTCGGTAAGGCCGCTTGACCACAGGTAGCGTCGAATCATGCACAAGCCGTATGACATCTATACAACGAAAAATACAGAACCATACTTCTAAATCGATAAAATAAAGGGTGAGCTATGTACCCAAACTAGCCTACTAAAATGAACAAATGAAGTTTGATGAAATAACCACGGATGCAAAACAGCCTGAAGTAATATGTTTATGTACTACGTGCATAGATAGGTAGAGAATCACATATATACAGCATGTAAACTTCCTTAAAGTTTCAACTCTTGAGTGATATCTGGAGCCAATACGTCAGTTGATGAACCTCCCTTTGCAAACGGTCATTGGACCTTTTGTAGATCCAGGCACGTGATATCTCTTTTTACATGATATATCACTATTTACCATGACGTGGCGGAAACAGTGTAGTCTAACATGGGCTGAATTTCACCTCGGCGTCTATCTATTGCCTCAACGACAGGAATGCGATGGATTACAGTATATGGACCTCAGTATGCCTGCTGCGAACAGTTGCGCTATAATCACATTAGCGTTTAAAAAACGCAATCGATAGTGAGTCCAAATGCGTGCAAAAAGTGCAGTGCTTCTCGTCTAATGCCTTGTAATACTGATTAAACCATCGCTTGTCCACCAAAAAAGTGTCAGAAGCATAGATATTACGTTGTTGCGAGGTTGCAGTAGCATTTCGTAAGATTAAAAGGCGGATATAGTATAGATAGAACGCCTCATTTACATGACAGCATCAATATAGTAGCATGTTTCTTGACGAAATATTCTATCAGTTCTTTACTGTCTTTTCTATATATCCCTAAAAGTAGGTCCGCTGTAGTACCTGAACGATCGAAGTGACGAAGAACATGTCGCTTCGAATCATATTTGCTTAAGGAGCGCCCCATCAATTTGTCCGAAGCCAGTTGCTAGAAGATCTTAGGTTCAAGACGTAAGCGCTACAGCCCTATGACTTAAATGCTGGGGAGCTTTACAACAGACGTATAATTAGATGTGGTGAAACAGGAGTTGGTCGTCCGCTGTGCGGTAGGGGCCGTGCTGCACGATGGTGACTTTTCCACTCTCAACCTGTATAACAAGCCAAATATGATTCTAGAATACTATAGGACCAAAAGATACATGCTATAGATCATCTTGCGGTACCGAACGTCAAACTGCCAATCGTTAGTTTGATCAATTTCTTCCTGATAAAAGTTGTAGACCGTCACAGAGCGTAAGATGATCGATCGTCACTAAAATCTTCATGTCCGTACAAGCATACAAAACAAAGCTACCTGTGATTGATTATATGTATAAAGAGAAGAGAGATGGTTTGAGGTATATTCAGGTACGCGTACTACCCACCATATCCGGATTTGTTAGCCACTCTCCGGCGATGCGTAATCTTCCTGCCCCTGCGCGGGTATCGATACACGTACCTACCTTTCCGGTGCCAGTGCTTTTCCACTCGGCCACCGGGGTCGGTTTAATTAAATGCATAGAGAACACAGTGTACACCACTCAAATGAGCCAGGAAAATTTAGACATGAATATTGCTGAATGGCGGCGGTTGTCGAGGATTTGAGCCAATTTGCCTGGAACAACCGGCACGGCTGGTCAAAATTTGATTGATAACTCAATAATGAACTAGCATGCTACCTTTGCACTACATTATAGAAAGACAATATGTCTTTAAAGATCCATTGTAGTGGGGTAAATATTCTACGTGAAACAAACGATGATTAAATGATCTATAAATCAATTGAGCAAACCCACAAAAACGGCAAGTGTGTGATGCATTATCATCCTTTCGCTAATAGGGATCCAGGTAGAGTCGTTCAAACCGAATTTGTCACCTTAAGCCACCTTAGCGTTTACCATATTGTCCGAGACAATCAAGAGCGGGCATGGCCTAGAAGAGCTGGAAAGTATTGAATAAGTAAATGACGTTGACATTAATATGCGTCATCATATTGCTATTAATCAATTTCTAGCCGAATTGCAATGATCGAAAGTATATACGACAAAGTAATTAGATTGAGCGATGCAAGTCTCAACATTGTAAGTCCCTTCAGGCAATTCCTGCTTCAAGGATTTCGAACAGCCCCAAGAATGTAGTACCCGAACGTACCGCTCTATCGCCGGAGAACAACTAGACTCATCTCGAAGTCAACTTGATGCTAAGATAGAGTAAGGTTTATGATACAGCGATCATTGCTTCTTAGTACGTCATTGCGATCGACGAATATTATCATATCACTCAGCAGCAGGTCACGAATGGTAGTTTATGTTCCATACAGCTCCCCGAACTTTGTGTATGCACAAGTCGACAGAGAGACCGTGGCCGATACATACTAGTAACAAGATAAATGCGGTAACGCTGCCGACACAAAAAACAAAACGAGTAATGGCGCAAGAATGATGGCATTATTAAATAAAGTTCTGTTTTAACGGGTGTATGCCATAACAACTATACGATCGTGATGAATGCGTGGTTGATATGCTCAATTATCTTTGATGCCTCAGTTGTATGTATGATAGTAGCTAGATACACAGAAAAGATATATAAATTCTCCGTCCATATCGACCATAGTCAGTACATCTTCATTTCTGAGAGAAGACACAGGATGTGCTGCTAAGTCTTCCAAATATATTATCGTTGTAGTCAGATTATGAATAGACCAAGGACGCAAGGGTCCATAGCTATCCATGTCCGATAGTTTTTCGCAAGCATGCTTGATCATACACTTACCTTAACAAGTTAATTATCACAGCTTGAAATACACTACTATATTTATACTGGGAATGAACAGGCGCACGCCTTGACTTAAAACAAATTAAGGCGATCAAATACCGATCAGTCTAATGTATTGTCAATCGATTGAGGAGCTTCCTTATTCAAAGAGTCACTTGCAGAAGTGATTGCTTATTTTCCTCTGAGATTTCAATGCATCATATTTGTCGACTCGTTACACATTTGTCCTGTAACTAGGGTTTTATTTACGTAAATGATGCACAGTATATAAAGTCTTCAGTATACATTTGTTGCATACATACATGAATTTATTATATAGTTTTGACGCTTGAGCGCAAATTTACATTTCAAATTAAATACGAATGAGACGGCGCTGAGCGCATATTATGGTAGAATAAGAGTAGACTGAATTTGTTTAGCCCAGCTATTAGAAAAGCGCCTTTTTATAATATTAGAAGAAAAGTGTCATCAATCACGTCCAAATATAGCCCACATCTTTGCAACAAACTGCGATGCGTATGCTCTTCTTGTTAACCGATGTTCTCGATGGATCATGAATAGGAAGATCAAACGCTGTTGCGGATATGGTGCAGTAGCGATCACAAGATTTTTGCGATCCCGACTTTCCACTGGCGCCCGGACGACGTATAAACGGAAGGAGTAGTCCGATTTCGTGCTGCAAACTTTTCTCACCTTGTGTTTTCGTCGGTACGGCGAGTTGCCCTCTTCCAGGTGGACTCGAGTCAATGCCAAACTTGACCGTATTTGCGATGGGGGCTATTGCGCGAAAATCGTTCGCACGATTGCATCTTTCTTGGGTGAAACTCTATACGAGTCTGCCCTGTTCTGGTCTAGAATGCCTTGCCCAACGGTTATTCTCGATCTGCGTGTCTTCTGACCACTTGAGCCGTCTCGCGATCTTTCACCTGTTGCATTAACTTGTTTTCTTCGTCCGATCGCTGTCGGGGCGGTTGTGTTGAGATTCCTCCTTGCAAAACAACCTATAATATCACTCGATTTATGAATGCGACTTTTTGTGACGCAAATGGGCAGAAATCTCACCCGGAGGAGAAGTCGACACGTAAATTTAGAAACACATTGAACTCTGTTTAATGTTTATCCCATCAACAAAGATCTAGCACTATGCGTAATACACACTATGAATCTACTATCGTCCCCTTGCACGACATGGCCCACTTCAAGTACTGTTTCCGATCGCGGATTGCAAATCGCGCGGTGTGGTGTGGTGTGGTGCACACCTTCTTGTTCGCTATCGCGAACTTGAAACTGATCGCGTACCTGATCTCTATAGCTTCGTGACCTAATCTCGCTTCGGATCACGTATGGCGTAGAACACTCCTCGTCCTTTTCCTTTATCGTTATTGAACCACAGAACGAAAATTTACATCCGTCGAATATCTTCTCCCGTTGTATTGACGTAATGGGGCGAGTGCGGCCGTTCCCGCCAATCGTTCGCTAGCTCGTACTTATCCTGAGCACGATCTTTCCTTCTGTTATGAATTTTCTTTTTTGC